GAAAAAAAAAAAAAAAAAAAAAAAAAAAAAAAAAAAAAAAACTAATGCAAACCCCTATTCCTTGGTTTACTTTATGTCTCGATTAAAATGCATCTTTTATTACTTTAGTATTAATACTTTTTATTCTGGGGTGGTTCCATTTGCTGCCTGCAGTTTCTCCCTTAAAAAAAAGAAATTGAGAACTTGAATTGCTGTTTGGGAAAATTAAAGATCTGATAAATGGAGACTGATTTACAGGACATTTTAAGCTTCAGGGAGGAACAAATCAGATAGTTAACTTAGAATTCTCTAGGGCAGATGTAACTGTGGTATAAACGAGAGTCACCAAGGGATGGATCATTAAGCTAAAATAGATGCCAGGGCTTCATTTGAAAACCATGACAGTAACCCACTAATTCTCAGAATACAAGGATCATTTACTTTTTAATGCCTGGAGTAAGAGTTTGTCATGTGGGCTTTGCTTCCTAGCATCTTGCACACAATAAAACAAATGCTGGGATGGAAAGATATTGGAGACAGGTGTAGTAGCATAGACAGATGTTAAATTAAGAAAAGTCTTTCAAAGGTTTTCTAGAATCTTAATGATTTCCAAAGACTCCTTTTTCAGCTTCCCTACCTTGCCTCTGGTAGTCTAATTAATAGTGTGATTTTTTAGCTGTTGCCAAGTGCCACGCCAGTTCAAATAACAGCTGTCAGGAGAATGTGGGTGAGAGCTGATCAGATCTTTAGTTACCTAGCTATCTTTAGAAGGTACTGTCTTTGGCTTAATGAGTGCTGTATTTCATAAGTAGCCACAGGTGTTTGGAACCATGCTAGGCATTCTTGGGCCTGTAAATAGAGTTTGGTAAGTTTTCAGATTCTTTATATAATCATCAGCAGTGTTTGAATACTTGCCCTTCTACCATAGCAAAGTAGGGCATTATAGAGAAAATTATAAAGTAATGGAGGACTCATGAAAAACACAAATATACAAAACAGCACATCAGATACAGTCATTGAGGTAACCAATTGCAACCAGGCAGAAATTGAATGTACTCTTTCAAGTGTGAGACTTGGTGAGAAATCTTAAATTCTAGGTGTTATATGTGGCTTTGGTATTTGCAAACTATTATTGACCAATTCCAATCACCAGAGCAGACCTTCTCATCTGTAGACGGGGGTTAATTATGACCTAACTACCGCACATGGTTATTTGCAAAATCAAGTGAGATGAAGTATAGTATGTGGAAGTAATTTATAAGCCATAATGCACTAAGCATGGGAAATGTGGATTTATTATTATGTAGAATCTCACTGGGACTCAGACATATGGAAAACTGGAAAATCTAGAATTACCACTGAGAGTCTTTCTCTCTCATGCTCTTGGCATGATTCCCTCTTGGGTGTTGATAATGACTTTGGGGCCCCTTTTCTCTTTTTTTTTCTGATCCTCAAACAGTTTGAGTGACCTGGGGATCCAGATAGGTGTGGGTCCATATATGAAGTTGTATCTACCGAAGCCTCATTCAGTACAGACATATATACCAAGTGTGTTCAGGACTACATTAGTAAACAGGTAGCCTGAATATTTGGCTATAAATGTATTAAATACCTGCAGGAGTCAGAGGAACTATGTTAAGAAAGGGAAAATGTAAACGTAGAATAAGCCAATATATAGATTACCAGCAGTTTCTTTTCACACAGGCTGTGTCTCTGACAGTTGAGTCCATGAAGATTTTTGTGAGGGTGGTATTGGATATGTAAAAGAGTATTTTATTATGTAGCCCTGAGAAATCTTTTTGTTTTTTATATAGTCATAAGTGAAATATAAATTTGTAGGTTTTTTGAGTTTATTTCAGGTTTTATTTTACTTACCTTCTGTTAGTCATAAAAACAAAAAATCATGATTCCAAGTGTGTTTGATGTCTACACTGGGTACAAAAAGTGGTCTAAACATTTGGATATAAGTGCATTGAGTAAGGGATAATTAGCTCCCAAAATGCTTAATGTGCAGTGGTTTTGGATGCTTTATTTTTTTGGCAGCTGGCCAGGACATGGATGCTTCTTAACAGCCCATCTTGTGAGGTTTTTGCCTACTGGTGTTTGTGGGTATGTGTGTGTGTGTTTCTGTCACTGCACCTGAGACTCAGTATTCCCTTTTGTGTGTGTGCTTTGTCACCTTGTCCCCACAGCAGGGCTGCCTCTGCCCCCCCGACTCTCCCTCACACAACTTCAGTGAACAGAAGCACCTTCTGTTTTGGCTCCTTGTCCTTGGGGCTGACCAGAAACCGTGGCCTTCTACCAGTTTTCCTCATGGTCTGATTCCTTTGCTGAGCCGTCCAGTTGACTCCTGGAGGGCCTTGTCCACTGTCCTCAGCCACACCTTTCCAGACCTGCCTGGACCCTGACAGTAGACAGAGCTTGAGCTAAAGCCCAGAACCCCTGCTGTATACACATTCTGTAAAGAGTAGCCTGGCTCTTCCTGAGGAAAGGGTTATTTAACATTTCTTATCTAGGGGAACCAACCAGACACACAGGTGATCCAAACATTTGTTCATTTATGTTATTTTTTTGGGAACTGGCCCATACAGGGATCAAACCCTGGACCTTGGTGTTATCAGCACCATGTTCTAATCAGCTGAGCTAACCGGCCAGCCCTACCACTCCCTCCTTCCCTCCTTTTTTTTTGTATATGTGTTTTTTAGCAGCTGGCCAGTATGGGGATCTGAACCCTTGACCTTGTCACACTAGGGCTGGGTCTGGAGCTCACAGACCCCTCAAATCTGTTTACAGACTGGGTCACAAACCCTTCACATGCAGGTCTATGAGCTAGGTAACTGGCAAAAAGGTCCTTGGAAGCTGTAGTCTGGAGAGCATGGCCATGTGGGGTGGACACCCAAGGCAGTCAATGCCAGCCAAGTGGTGGTGCCGCCCACACTAACTCCACCCACACACAACTTGCTTACAAAGAATGCACTGCACCACCCCCAACTGGACCTAAGACGAGGGGGCCTGATTAAATTATTCCACTTTCCCAACAGACCTGGTGTTATCATTTCATTTTAACAGACAGGCTATAGCAGAAACATTTTGAAGTACTGCTAGTTACGTTCAATCTGGGTGAGTGTACAGCCGCTAAAGGGCCCAACACTAGAGGCTCAAGCATTCTGTACCATGCTATGGTTTCTTTCTGTCCAACTTTAAACAAAGGTGAAAACCCAAACCCTTATCTTAGCTGAGTGTCATTTACCTTTAGCCCCATCCCGGAGTGTTTGGGAAATATGAAAGAAGAATGAGATGGTTCTTTACTCGTAGAATTTGTAGTATAGTTGGAGAGAGAATTAATGCAAAGAAGAGTAAAGCAATACAAAATAATATATGGACAAACATGAGCATTGTAGAAAATAGATCATAGAGGAGTCAGGGAAACTAGGTCATATTTGGCTGGATGAGAGAAGAAATCAAGGAAGAAGGGTAAGATGAGCTAGAGTTTGGTGGACAGATAGGAAAAGTGGGGGAGCATGTCCTGAAAAGGGAATAGCATTCACAGAGGACAGAGGCAGAAATAAGGTATTTACATCAAGTGCTTGGCAAGATTTTGAACATTTGAGGGGCCCTGACCATTTTTCTATGTTTTCCTAACAGCATCACCAGTGGGACAAGATCCTCCTCCTCTTTCCTTCTAAATCATGGGCATTCCTACTTTAAATTTCCTCCTCATCAAAGTGGAAACAGATTTAATACCTACCATCAATTATACTTGCTGATTAACTTATCACATTTTATATGAGTGAGCTTGTTCCTCAGTCAACAACTTTTTTTTTTTTTAAATGCCTTTTATGCCTTCTTTTTGGAAGGAGAGGCCATGCCCCTGCTCAAAGAGGAGCATCGGCAAGCAGATAGGGAGATGTGTTTAAAGGAGTGTATCTACAAGAGAGGCCTAAAAAATCACACCAGAAAGACTGGCCCTGGAGTTAGTTCACTTGTCAGCTTTTTATGGTTTTTGCAAGGTGTAGGCCTTAGACCCACAGGTTTCTCATTCCCTGAAGAGGGCACTTCAGCACTGGGGAGCATGTAGGGTGGGGCAGGCCATGTCCCACCTTGACCACACCCAGCCCAGCATAGATCAGCTTGAGCAGCTTTCACCTAATGGCTCGCTCCTTCCTCTTCCCTACCTCTTGCCATCATCCTTTTGTTTTTTTTATTCCTTAACATCATGTTGGCTCTGTTTCATTTTAACCCAATGGTTTGCAAAGTGTGGTCCCTAATCAGCAGCATCAACGTCGCCTAGTAGTTGAAAATGCAAATTCTTGGGTGCACTCTAAACCTATTGAATTAGAAAGGATGGAGGTAGGGCCCAGCTTCCTGCATTTTAACAAGCCCACCAGGTGATTCTGATGCTGGCAGTCTTAGAATCACTGCTCTCACCTGACTTGGAATCTCTGCCCCAGTCTGCAGATCACCTGGTGTGTATTTTTTTTATTCCATTGGGGAGTATATTGGACACTTTTCGTTATTATTTAATGATGTTTTTGTACTTGATCTTTCCATATTTGTTTTCTTTGAGTAAAATTGGCCGTAAGACTATTTCCAGTTTCTACACTAAACGTTTGGTTGCAATGCAGTGTCTTTCTCAACTGTGAGTACAGTCTGGTGTTACCAGAAATGGCTTGCAAGGCTGTCACAGAATCAAGGCCAGCTCTCTCATCAGTGGGCCACTCCTGGATAAAGCTCTAGATTAGCAGCCTCTGTTCCTGCAGTGGAACTCAAAAATTATTCTGGTAACAGGAGGTCAAGGTTTAAGACCCAGCTGGGAAAACTTGGGCAAGTCAGCTAACTTCTAAGTCTCAGTTTTTCCATCTGTAAAACAGTGAAATCAAGTGAGAGCTGGAACTAGAATGCCTGATCGTTGTTCCCAGTTAAAACAATTCAGTGATTTTAGTTATGAGTTTGGCTGGCACCGTTGAAGGGGTGAGGTTGATTCTAGCGACCTCAGAGGAAGCAGGGCCTCAGTGTGTGTGGAGGGATGTCTGAGTTCTCTCCACCTTGAGTTTTCTGTTCTTTAACCTGCCACTCCATCTGCAGGGCTATCTTTCTAATCGTTTAACAGAAGAGGACAGCCAAGTCTCTCCGGTAGTTGCCAGCCCACCCCAATTGTTCCATGATTCAGGACTGTATTTGTTTTAAAAAGTAACTGAAATGTATATTTAGTGGCTTTTTGATGGTGCTTCTGGCAAAATCTGGCAATAAGATATATTAACATAAATAATAATGACAGCAGTAAGAGTTGATATATTTTTTGTTTTGTTTTGTTAGCTGGCTGGTATGGGGATCTTGATCTTGTTGTTATCAGTGCCATGCTCTAACCAACTGAGCTAACGGGCCAGCCTTATTGAAAGTTTTGTGTGTTGAGTATTTACGTAGAGTCTCTCATTCAATCCAAAGAATAACCCTATGAGACATACTGTATTATTCCCATTTTACAGATGAGAAAGTCAAGGCACCTAGAAGTTGAGTGCTTTGTCCAAAGTTACACAGCAAACAGTGAATGGAACTTGGATTTGAACTCCGGCTGCCTGACTCCACAGCTCTGCTATGAGTGAATGATGAATAGTGGGGCAGGAAGTTAACTGGCTGATTAATGCAACTGAGTCCCTTAGTCCTACTTGGAAGCTATACTTTCTTTTCTTCTCCCCCACTTGCTGCCACCTAAATAACCAATTATTGCCCCTGTGCTAGATCTCGGGGACCCAGGGTGGAGGAAGGGAGAACCACTGTTCTAAGTGAAGAGAGAGTCCCTGTGCTGTGGAAGGAAGGAGTCAGGGTGCAGCATCCTCTCACTACAGAGGGTCATGACAGGAACAGGGGCTAACAGCGGAGAGAGCCCAGTACTCTGCCAGGACAGCAAGGACCACCACTGCTGGTCCTGTCAGTCACACTGTCTTCAGCAAGTTCCCTGAACTATTCTGGGTTTGTTTTTTCACCTGTAAAATGGCAATTAGAGGCCTGATACTTCTGGGTATGATGTGTAAACAAATAATGACCTGTTTGAAAAAAAAGAAAAAAAGATCTTGGTGCTTCTTGGAAAGGTGCTTTACAAGCAAGAAGAGAGCACCGTTCTCCTGACTCATCAGAGGAATAGATGGGAGCTGGAGATCAACATCTGATGTGATTGCTCTTTGTTCCTTGAGAACCGGAGACCTCAGGGAGAGAGCCCGTGTGGGCAAGAATTAAGTGAAAATTTCAGGTCTAGTGTGATAAGGAGGGCTGACTTAGGGACCTTCCCATCTTGACCCTGTGTTTATGTTTTATCTCAGGGATGAGATGAGAGATGAAGAGGGCCTCATGAGCTTTTATGTACACATCATTAAAAGTGTTTGTTATATGTTCCACGTGTACTGATGCTGACTCTCTGGGATAGTGTAACTCAGCAGGCCCATCTCCTGTCCCCCAGGAAATCATTAAGTACATGACTCATACAACACTGGCTCAATGCAGACATAAGACCAATGTGATGACTACTTTTGTAGGCACTTCTGTGAGCCCCATCTGTATTTATCCTGGTAGCAAAATCTGTGTGATGTGTGAATTGCATAAATTCTCACCTTTATTGTGGCACTTTGGCATAACTAGAATGTTTTCTTCTTTTTAGGCTATATGAACATAAAATAGGCAGAAGACAGGTGCGTTTGCCATTTAACATTTGAGGATGTGGAAAACTGTCTAAACACAAATCAGAAGAGCTCGGTTCAAGTCCTGACTGCTCCTTGTTCAAAACATGACTTGAGCCAGCCACTTCAATTTTTCTGAGCTCCCTTCCTTTATCTACAAAAAGAGTATGACGTTGCCTTCTGGGTTCACTGGGATATTGTTAGGTCAGCTCTGATAGTATATGGCTCCATTCAGATGTAAGGCATTGCTGTTATCATTTCTGCTAATTCTCCATCGTGATTTCAAAGATAGTTCATAATATATGAGATTTGGAATGAAACATGCTTTCTTCTTGGTTGTTTACCATCTCATTCATTGCAGTGACAATACACACAGCTTGCATGAGACTTTGCTTTGTACTGATTTGACATGAGCCCTGAAAGGGCTCTGTATAGAAATTATGACTGTGACTTTGTTCTTGATTCTTGGAGCCATTGCTGACAGCCTCCTGAAAAGGACTTTCTAGTGGAACGTTTGGCATAACCACCTTATAAAGTGGTTACTGCAGCTTTTGGCAGAGAGAGAGAGAGAGAGAGAGAGAGTGCGTGCGCGCGCGTGCGTGTGTGTGTGTGTGTGTGTGTGTGTGTTCTCTTCCTTCTGGATTTCCAGAATCGCCTTGCTCTGTTTACATGAACCAGTTCTATATTCCTTCCGTCTTATTCCTGTGTGTATTTGTTCTATTGTTCCAGTCAGGCTGGGAGAAAGCAATTATCTTCTTGAAGGAAAACTACGTGCAATGTGTATTATGATCCTATTTCATGTTAAAATATATATATATATATGTATATATATATATATATAGCCATACATTTGTACACATGTAGATTTCTGCAAGAATACATAAGCAACATTAATATTATATTGGAAAGCAGAGGTTGAGGAAAACTTCAAATATATACCAAAGTAGATAGAACAGCATAGCGAACTCACACCTACTAGCCTCAACAATGGTTAGTTCGTTGTTAGTTACCCAACTTCAATAATTGTTAATTCATCTGAATCTAGGAAAGAGACATTTAGTTTTCATTTTCCTATTTGAACTTTTTTCTATTATGAGCATGTATGATTTTGATAATTTAAAATCTTAATTACAAAATAAACTCCAAATATTAAAACAAAGTACAGTGTGTTAGATTTCATTTGTTCCTGTTTTTTACTCTCGTCCTTTTAGACCCAGAGCCTTTGAAGATTGGGTGATTAAGAGTGATTTTCCCTGGGTTCTTGGGTTCAAGGATAGATATGGGCTGTTGCAGAACATCTGGAAAGGACAGTACCTTTGGTTTAACACACGTCCATGTCAGTGCTGGTGCCCAAATCACAAGGCTCCCACTGTCAGCTCCACTGTTTGCTTGCTGTGTTTTTTAATTAAACTGTTCATTCTGGCTGAGATTTATGACACTGTTTTTAAATGAGAATATGTAGTTTCAGTCTCTGCTTTGTTCCCTGTGTCCCACAACCTGCTGCAGTTCTCTGTAAGCAATTTTTTTGAAAAACCGTTTCTATGTTTCTTATCAGATGGACCGTGATTTTGTAGGTATTATTAACACCCTGCCCTCGGTAATGTTTGTTCTCCTAGGACTGGAAGAGGAAATTGTCTGATGCAATTTCAGCAGCTGGTTAGCTGGACAGGAATAGAGCATTACAGAATTACCTTGAATCTAAGCCTGTGAACCAGCTCTCTGAGATGAATGACGGGAAGATGGTTTTTTTTTTATTTAAATTCTGTAGTCAGTGGGATTAAAAATGCAGCTAAAATAGAGATGGGTATTTTCCCCAGTATGTTCATTGTGGATTGATTTGGACTGTTAGTCAGAAGACTATTTTGCCTATGCCTCCCACAATGCTGAGTGCATAATATGCACTAAGTGACTTTTCAGATCAGTGAGGATCTATCCCTTACTATTTGCTATGCCCTAGAATTGCAACAATAAACAAGCAACTCCCCCTTAGCAGCCCTGATCTCATCTATTTGTAATATAGTGGGATGAATGCTTTACCAGTGGCACTAAAATCTTGTCGGCGACCAGAGGAGAGAAGATTGTTTTGTGGCTTTGAGAGGTTGGGAAAATGTTTGCAGAAGGAGGTACCCTTGAAAAGCTGACTCTTAAAGAGCAAACAGAATTTTTCCAAGTGTTGAAGGCAGGAAGAGGGAGCATTCTAAGCAAAGGGGTCTTTGTCTTGAGCAGAGGTGTGGAAGGTGATTGGCATGTTCAGGGGCTGAAGAAGAGTTCAGAATGTCCAGGGTATAAAGCAGGAATGCCTGTGGTTGGGAGGTGAGAGAGGGGTGAGTAAGCTTGGGAGGGTCTGAGGTCAGGGTGGAAAGCCTCCTCAGAGCCTGGGTAGGTGAGGCTCTCTTGGATCCAGGTACACTCAGCCACCAGAGGGGATTGGTAGTGTACCGGTTATTATAAGGATGCCCATGGCTTAGAAGAGGAACTGGAAAACACTTAGGAATTGAGGCACTCCGGAGACCGAGGTCTTTTGCCATCCATCATTTGCAGCATCAGGGGCTCTCTCTTGCTGTCTCTCTGTGCTGTGCTGCTTGCTGCTTTCTCATTCCTGATTGTCCAGTTTCTTAAATATCTTCTGGTCTCGGGTTTCTGTAACGTTAGTTCCAGGATTTCTAGGTAGTCTAAGGAATGTGGAAGATGTATGTGGGAGAACTGAGTGGGTAAATGCAGGAAATACTCTGGACTTGGCAGTCCTACCGCCCTTTTAACCAGAGCACCCCACATTGCTCTGTTTTACACATTGACGCCTAGGGAAGTTTTCACTTGAAAAAAGTGTTCCATGGTACAAGTGGAGTGTGAAAATTTCAGCTCTAGTTTAAATCAGGGAAGGAGCCATTTGGCTTAGCTTAGCGAACTACTGTCAGCTGGACTGGGGAGAACCTTGTGGCCTGGGCCTCCTGGTTGTACTGCCTGTGGGCGTGTGCAGGGACCACACAGGTCAGGGCTCTTGCACTCAGGCACTGTTCCAGACAAAGAAAACAGGCACGGGTTTTTGAACCGTGCCTGGCATGAGTAAGGTGGAAGCGATTTTAAATAGAAAAGGACATTGGGCATGGCAGACAGTGTGACTGTGTCCAGGCAAAATGCTGTGTTGAAAAATGTGGCTTTTAGCTAGTAGTTCAGCATTCTGTGGAGTCTTTCTAGAGAATACTATTCCGTGAGAGGTTCAGCTTCATAAAAGTTTCTCTTTTCTTTCTTTTTTTTTTTAAAGATGACCGGAAAGGGGATCTTAACCCTTGACTTGGTGTTGTCAGCACCACGCTCAGCCAGTG